AATCAAATCAAATACATCAAAACTATAATAATACATATCGTGTACCAGGATCTCCTATCAAAATCCCCAAAAATGGCATACTTTTTGAAAATTCTGTCAACACCACTAAAGATAAATTTAATTGGTTTAACACATCTTATTTATCCAAATGTAGGTAATAAAAATTAATTATTTATTGTTGGACCTTATACAAAAAGTGACGTAATTATGTATATATGTGTACAAAATTATACTAAATGTGAAAATTATTTTATTTTCTCAATACAAAAATACAAAAGTATTATATAGTTTCTTAACGCCAATATTTGAAAAGTTTATATGAACATTGTACTGACCTTTTAATTTCGTCGGCAGTAATCTATAACTTAAATTCGGGCACGGAGTCCACTGTAAAGTGCTCATAAAACATTTTCTTTACTTTCACTGTGAAAAACTGTTAATTTTCAAGAAATACATTTTGATTTATAACCTTTATAATCTGTGTTTATAGAATATAAAAATTTGACATTTGACGGTGACACAGATTCCCCTATTGTTTCATAGATGGCGCTCTATACAAATCTTTGATTTAAATCATTTTAAAATAATAATAAGTATTTGTCGTAGAAAAAGTATAGTATGCGCCTCGTTAATAAACTTTTCTACACACTCATTAATTTAAGCACTCTAAATTAAATTTGTGTATAAAGTGGCGTTTATTAAACTTGATACATAATATACTATTATTTTCTTTGACTAGCAAGCTTTTGAAACTGTTAATAGAAAAGTATTGCTTAAAAAGCTTAAGGTTTTAAGAACGCTGTTTTAAAATGTCTGACAAAATTAAAAACCATTGGGGTCCGGTAGGGTAAGCGTAACTTGGGGTAAAAGGACAAGGCTTTGGTAACTTTTTGTATGTTGAAAGTAATGGCGCGCCATCTTCAGTGTTAATAATTAATAATAATAATAATTATTATTATATGTAGGCTGGGTAGTAGCTAGATTAAGCACGATAGTGTTTGATAGTTATTATCTCGGCAACAGGACCAAGAAAAAGTAAGTAAAAATAATATTCATATTTATATATAAAGAAAAATCCAAATAACGCGTCCAGTTGTACTATCAGAACCCAAAAATATTAGCCGTCTACAAACCCTCTAAAATAAAACAAAATTCAGGGATGTGAAGACATAATGCGGGGGTATGCGTAGACCTTTGGTGTATTCGAAGACAGCCCTATAAAACACCGTATATAAAAATATTACCTATATAATTATTTATTAATAAATATTATTACTAATTATTGCTGTTTTTAAAACCAAATTCAGAAAAGAGTACAAATACAGAAGCGACTTAACAAAAAGAAAATAACACTGGAGATAATCTAACAAATGATCAAAACAACAACGAAATGGAGAAAAATGATGATAATCCCTGTTGTACTGGCGGTTCCAGATCCAAGGGAAGCATGGATGTCCCTGGCGCTGGTACCAGCACACTTCCGGGTTGGCCCCCAAGGAGACTGGTCGTATCTGAGGGCAAAGGCGATGGGGTTCCGACCTGGGCAGTCGGATCGGGCTGGTTTCCATCCACGTTGATGGTATCTTCAGCGGGATGGAAGAATTCCCCCTCATTGTCCCCGCTAGGGGCTGAACCGGGGCTGGGGCTAGTGGCATCGTTGCTTGACTGCGGGTGACAACCATGGACGCCTACGCAGTGTAGTAATAGGTCCAGGAACGGCCCGGCTGCTGGCCTGGGAACGGCCCTACTGCGGACCCGGGAACGGCCCTACTGCGGACCCGGGAACGGCCCTACTGCGGACCCGGGAACGGCCCTACTGCGGACCCGGGAACGGCCCTGCTGTGGACCTGGGAGCGACCCTGCTGTGGACCTTAGAGCGGCCCTGCTGTGGACCTTAGAGCGGCCCTGCTGTTGGCCTAGGAGCGGCCCGACGGCTGGACTGGAATCGTCCCTGCGACTGGCCTGGTTCCGGATCGGAACCTGTAAACCTGGGGGAACTGCTGGTGGACGCTGGCTGGAACTCCTCGAAGATGGCTTCGCTTAGGAATTCGAAAACCCAACGTTATTCCTTCTTTTTCAGAAGTGTCCTGAAAAGGACAATGGTTGCCTACACTCAGGACTTGGATGGTTGGTTCTGACAAAGAACCAATTTGCCTACAACCAGGACTTTTGATATGAAACACCAGGTACTATGGTAACGACGGTTTGCTCTTAGCTGCCAGGAGGACTGGTAGCTTATCTCTTAGAAGCTCAATAGTCACTGACCTTAGAGGGTGTCAGACCTCTCTTTTATAGCCGAACGGGTCTCTGCTCTGGTCGACTGCTGACCAATCAGCGTCAAGCAGCGACTGAGGCCCGTTTCGACATCCCCTAAACAAGGTAACAGTTATAACGGTTCCGCTGACCATAAAATCTCTTAGTTTTAAAGGTATTTTAAATAAAACTTAAATCCGAATTCGTCCCTCATAAAAAAACGAAAAAAAAAAGAAAGTCTTAAAGCGCATTCGAGAGAAAAAGGATCAGAGTTGCAAAAACTAAGAGAGCCTTGAAAAATAGCGAAGGATTTTGAAAGAAAATTGTAGAGGAAAAGAAGAAAAAGTAAAATTACTTAAACTAAAAAATATTTCTAGGATTTGTCAACATTGTTGACAAATCCTAGAAATATTTGTTGACTCAACAAGTGAGTCAATGAGATAATCTTACAATGAAATTCTGTTCCTTATTTTTACTTAACAGTCGGAAACTACTTTGCAGATTATATTACCAAATGGTATTATGGTTATTAAAATAGAAGACGATTCGTTACAATTGAAGTTTATGGAGCGCATTACAAATGACAAATTAAGATTTTTTTCTACTCCCACCTTTAAAACGCCCTTTATCGTACATGTTTCCATGACACTAAGTGACCTTTAAATTCACATTGACAAGTTGTGGCTTTACGGCGCTTTAGTCACGGGCTGAAGTTAGCAACAGGTTTTTAGTCACGGGCTGAAGTTAGTTTTAAGTTAGTTGACAGTTGTCAAATGTCATACAATCGTTAAAATAAAGTGCCTTTCTTGTAAAATAATACTAAATGTGAAAATTATTTTATTATCTCAATACAAAAATACAAAAATATTTAATAGTTTCTCAACGCCAATATTTGAAAAGTTTATATGAACATTGTACTGACCTTTTAATTTCGCCGGCAGTAAACTGTTACTTAAATTCGGACACGGACTCTACTGTAAAGTCCTCATAAACATTTCCTTTACTTTCACTGTGAAAAACTGTCAATTTTCAATATACATTTCGATTTATAACCTTTATAATTGTGTTTATAAAATGTAAAAATGTGACATTTGACAGTTTCCCCTGTTGTTTTATAGATGGCGCTCTATACAATTTTTTGATTTAAATCATTTTAAGATAATAATAAGTATTTGTCGTAGAAAAAGTATAGTATGCACCTCGTTTATAAACTTTTTATACACTCATTAATTTAAGAACTCGCTCGCAAGCTCGCTCGTGCCTAAATTAAATTCGTGTATAAAATGGCGTTTATTAAACTTGATACATAATATACCATTAAAACATCCGGATTTAGATATCGTTAATAAAGACCCCATCCAGGTTTCAGTTTGTTTCTTACTACGTAGGTATTTTGTTCCAAAAGTAAATTTTTATTTTATTTTATTATATTTTAAGAGATTTTTGTTTTGTGTATAACATACCTAGTTTGACAATAACAAAGACATTTTTTTCATGTTTTTTTTTAATCTATGTTTATAAGAAACTTTAAAAGAATAAAAGTTACCTTTAAATAAATCAATTTTTTGCTGCTAGCGTTAAAACATGTAAAAAAAAATACGGGAGTTAAGAGTAAACTTTAGTTTAGTCTCCACTTACCACCTTAAATTTATTGTTGGCTAGTACGGAGAATACAAGCCTATATTTATATCTCCATAAGAATATGGCTTTTATCATAATAATAACAAATCCCATAACCATTATCACCTTAAAAAGTGTTTTAAAAAAATCTCATAATTTGTGCCAATGAAGTAACTTAAGGTACTGTTATAGGACTACTGTTGTTTTTATTGTATATGAATTATACAGTGAGCGCGTTAAAATCCCCCCCCCCTGTTAACTTTTGAACCAAATAAGATATCGATGTCGGACAAAAACCAGGGTAATAGTGATGGGTCCAACCCGCACATTCTTGTGTGCTAGCACACGTTGCACAGCACACTACAGTGTGCGGCACTGTGCGTGTCGTACATTTGTGCGGGGTGGGGGAAAATGATTCAAATTGAGAATCTCGCACGTTGCACAGCTAAGCACACTATGCGTGTCGTATCCAACTGTCGGTTTGGGATTTTTAATTGATGTAAAATAAAGCTTTATGTGTTTTAATGTTTATTATTAAACTCGATAAATACAATTTTAACTTAAACCCTTTTTTGATAAGTGACAATTTTATTTTAATATAATTATAATGTACGGTTCTTTTAATTGTACAAGTATTTGTATTATCGAACTTTATTTTTAACAAACAGACAGCAAACGTTTTAACGAAAATATATTCAAAAAATAGGTGGTTTACAAAAATATTACATTTGACAGTAGTCTAGGTATTTTTATTTTTTATATGGTGGTAATCCTGCTCTTGCAGCCTTGCCAGCTTGTGTCGCAAAGTATGATATGGATATTATCCAAGATATACAAAATGTTAATTATATAAAATAATTTCTTTACAACTTGTAACCTATTAATGCATTGTATAATATACAATAAATTTATTGTTATAGGTATAAAGAGAAATTATTTTTATATAATTGAAAGAAACTAAACCATAATGTATGTTCATAGATGGCAATACAGTCGATTTGAATTTATTTGATATACCTATTATTTTCCACTATTAATTCTTTTAAAATTTTAAAAGAATTAATATTGGTGTAATTAGTAACGATTTATTTAAGTTTTAATTTCTGTGTTTTATAATTTTGCGAAAAATGAGCAATAGAATGGGAAAGAAAACCAGCCCGTTGTGGTCTTATTTTACTGAGGCGGACGAAAATTTAAAAGCAAAGTGTAATTTTTGCTCTCAGTTTTTGTCAATCAAGGGAGGTTTCACTTTTAATTTATCAAGGCATCTTAAAAATAAACATTTCCATGCCTATAATTCTCTAAAAGAGACAGCAGGAGATGCGCCAATGGAAGATGATTCGCCCGAAGCAAGAGTTGTTGAAGTTTCACAACCAATTCCAAGTACGTCTTCACAATCAGAGACAAGTACGTCTTCAACTTTAAAATCAGTGCCAAGTACGTCTTCAAGTGTTGTATCTGTGCCTTTATCGCGTCGTTTCAAAGCAAAAAGTTCATTTCCCGTGTCCTCTTATTTTCACAAATCTATAAGTGCTAAAAAACGTGATGATATTCACAAATTACTTGTGAGCGCTATAGTAAAAAATTATTTAGCTTTTCAAATTGTTGAAAGTAAAGAGTTCAAAACATTACTGTCTGCTTTAAATCCAGCTTACGAACTTCCATCCCGAAAAACAGTTTCTAAAGTACTGATTCCTCAAATTTACCAAATGAAGAAAGAGGAAGAGGAAGACTTCCATATCAAATGAAAGTTATGTATCTGTAACAGCCCATTTTATAGATTCAGACATAACATATAAATGCTATCTTTTGGACTGTTTAAATTATAGCGAAAGCCATTCGGCCGATAACTTGGCAACTCTTTTGCGGTCTGTTGCTGAAGAATGGAAAATTGGAAATAAAATTGAAGCGGTAGTTACAGATAATGCAGCAAATGTAGTGGCGGCAATACGAAAAACAGAGTGGAAGCATGTGCCATGCTTTGCACATACGCTTAATTTGGTCGTTCAGAATGCTTTGGAGCAAATTAAAACAGTCCAAGTAAAAGTCAAACATATTGTAGAGCATTTTAAACGCAGTCCCAAAGCAACTACGTTTCTTAAATCAATGCAAAAACAAATGGGACTACCAATTTTAGGTTTAAAGCAAGACGTCATTACACGTTGGAACTCGACTTACGACATGTTTTATAGAATTTTGGAAACTAAAGACGCGCTTTTATCTACAATAGCGATACATTACCCAAATGTAGATACGCTCACTAGTGATGATATTGTTACTTTGCAAAAGTGCTGCGAAGTTTTAGACGTTTTTAAAACTGCCACAGAAGAAATGAGCAGCGAAACACAAGTAACTGCATCTAAGATAATATTAATTAGTTCGGGACTCAAGCAATATTGTTCAAGCTACTTACAAGCTAATTCTGATTTACCGAGTACAGTGCGGCAAATGGTCGAAATATTAATCACATCTCTTGGTAAAAGATTTTATAATATAGAGCAAAACAAAATTTTTGCAGAAGCGACGTTTCTGGACCCTAGGTTCAAGAAACATGGGTTTACAAATTCTTCAAATTTCGATGTTGCTAAGAACAATATCACTAGATACCTAACAAATTTTAATGAAGAAGACACGCAGACTGAAAACGCAGCAAAAACAATAGAAGAGTCTAAAACCACAGAGCCAACACAAAAGTGTTTATCAAAAATATGGGAGAGTTTTGATCAAAAGGTTTCTAATCTAATTGGCACTACTAATCCAAAATTTGCTTGCATGATCGAAATTGACAAGTATCTTCAGGAACCGCTTCTACAGCGAACAGAAAACCCTTTAAAATGGTGGCAGGAGCGAAAATCAATTTATCCTCGCCTTTATCAGTTGGCTGTAAAAAAACTTTGCGTTGTTGCGACATCAGTTCCCAGCGAACGAATTTTTTCTAAAGCGGGACAGACAGTTACGGACAGACGAAACAGACTTAGCGGTGAAAAAGTTCGACAACTTGTATTTTTGAATGTTAATTTGAATTAAATTTATAATACCTAGATTAGTTTTATTTTATTTTGAAAATGTTTTTTTCTTGTAACACAATTTTTTATTTGTTTTTTTAAATGTTAATTTGTTGAAAATAAATTTTATTTTATTTTTGTATTAATTGGTGTACCTATACCTACGTTTTAAAAGAAAAGCGTTATTTATAAACTTTCAGTTGGCGTTAAAGGTAAAACGATTAATTGGAAATACATGTAAGTATTTATAAAGCGCTTTATAAATGCATGCATCTATTTTCAATGGTTTAATGCCAACGCCAACCAAAATCACCATATATATATATATATATATATATATATATATATATATATATATATATATATTATATATATATATTTGAGCTTAGAATATTATCCGGTAATGACAATCTATCAGTAAATGTTACATTCTAAGCGCAGTCTATCCGAACTCTATTGTAGTGCCATCTATGTGTTCTGTGCTGAATCAGAGTCAAAGCCACAGACGTAAAGATTCTTTACTAAAGAGCCATAGGTTAGATAAAGAGCAGTGCTGTTTCAGCGCACCGTGCCACATATGATAAAGGTGCCTTTTTTATCTCTGGGTGCTATGTGCTGGTAGCACATTTAAAAAGAGTCGTACCAGCTCCGCACACACAAAAGTGTCGTACATTATGTACGACTCGCACATGTGCGACCCATCACTACAGGGTAAACTATATTGTGTTTACTACCCATGGGAAAGTATCGTCTAAGATCGTCAAAAAAAAAGACGAAAATTCGTCCAATGACGATCGCCTATATAAGACGATCGCCTATAAAAGACGATTTTCTTAAATGACGATTGCCTTAAAAACGAAAATTCGTCCAAATAATGATCGCCTCAAAAGACGATCGTCTTCAAAAGACGATCAACTTGAATTCGAAAAACGAGAAAATATCGAGCAATGATGATCACAATAGAAAGACATTGTTTTAAAAATAAGTATTTAAAAGACAATTGTGATATGTAATCGTCATTCGTCGAATTTTAAGTACTAATTGTTAATGGTTGAAAATAAATAAGAAAAAAGAATAATTTCTTAAAATTAAGTTAAATTAATTTTAAGTCACTTTAACCCGACCCCCCACATTGTAACATGTGCATCTGACTTGTATGCTCCTCTAGAATTAATATATTTTGAAAATATTGTCGAAAAATGTATTTTTTTGACCATCGCTGATATCGATGATAATAAAAATAGAAATTATATTTGATGCTTTCCTAATATGTATGATTAAAAATCAAAAAACTTTTTTTTTATTATCATCAATTAGGTATTGCATCCATGAAAGCAAAACTTTGAATTTCCTTGGGTTATTTTAATAATATTTTGCAAAAAAAAAGGTTAAAACAATTTTTTTTTAATGCAAAATCATCATACGCATGTGCACATGTACTGTGATGATTTGGAATTTTATAAAATTGTATCGCCCTGTATTTTCAAAACAAAGCTTCTTTTTAAAAATTAGCTATAGCCAGTTTAGTACACTAAATAATTTTAAATATTATTTAAATAACCCAAAATATCACCCCTAAATTTTTTGTTAAAAAGTAACATAATTAAACTAATTCAAAACAAAACGGATTTGCAAAAATCATCACAGCACAGTATATTCCAAAAATAACCAAATAAATCGCCCCTAAAACTAGGCGATCTCTAGTTTTAGGATTGTGAAATTCACGATTACTCCTTTTAAAGACGATTGCAAAAGGCGATCTTCATTTTCTGAAGACGATCGATTGCTTAGAATACACGATCGCCCTCATTTTATTTAGATGATCATCAATTTTACAATGACAATCGTGTATTTTTATTGACGATCGTCAACAAAAATAACAGGCGATCTTTTATTTTAAACGACTTTATAGGCGATGTCATCAATATTTGATGATATCGTCTAAAAAATCGTCAATAAAAGAGGATCGTCAAAAAAATTCTAGACTATACTTTCCCATGGGTACTTTTTGACGTCAAATATAACATTTTTTGTTTGTTTTTAAAATCCGTTTAACCATAGCTTAGTTATTAGGGTTTAAAATTTTTAAAAACACGTTTTATTTTGGTTTTAATTTATTAAGAAAAATTTAAATTAGATGTTCGAAACGTTCCCCTTGGACAGCTTGACACACAAATAGCCTATCTTCAAATTCATTTCTAACATTACCAAAAGTTTCTTGCGTAATACTAGCACATTTACGTCCAATCCGGTGTTTAATATCATCTATGGTTTCCGCTTCTGTAATGTAGACCTTCGATTTTAAATATCCCCATAAAAAAGTCGATCCGGCCATTCGGTAGGACCACGCCTACCAATCCACCGATTTGGGTAACTGTTATAAAGCCATTGTCTAACATCCCTAAAATAATGTGGGGGCGCTCCATCCTGCTGAAATATGACTTCTCTGTCAAATTCATCAGGATAGGTATTGATTATTTCCTCAATCATTGGTTGAATTTGTGTTTGAAGCATGTTAAGATACATAATACCTGTCAAATTTTGTTCCAAAAAGATGGGGCCTACGATGTGGTTTCTCAGTATTCCCGCCCATACATTAACTTTTTGCGGATACTGGGTGTGACCTTCTCGAAAAAAATGTGGATTAACATCTGACCAGTAGCGTACATTTTGTCTATTAACAGTACCATTTAGAAAAAAAGTGGATTCATCACTAAAGCAAATTGAACTTATGTAGAGTGGATTTTGTGCTATGCGCTCACACATAAGTTCACAAAATTGCATTCGGTGATCAGGGTCACCTTCAGTTAGTTGGTGGAGTATTTGAAGCTTGTAGGGATAAAATTTGTTCTTCTTTAAATATTTTCTAACAGTTGTTTGAGATACAACACAAGTCTCTGCAACTGCGGCCGTTGATTGTTGTGGAATATTGACAACCGAACCAACTATTTGCACCTGTTTCTCTTCGGAAATTGATTTCCTTCCCGATCCTTTCTGCCTACCCACACTTCCACTTGTTTGAAATTTTGCCACCAAATCCCGTAGATATTTCCTGCAAATTGGGCTTTCTGGGTACCTTTCATTAAACACCCTTTCTGTTTCGTGCAAATTTCGCCCCATTTTACCATAAATAAAAATAGCCTCCGTTTTTTCTTCTAATGGGCGATGTCGAACCATTTTACATTCAAATATTAATTTAAATTGCATGAACAACTAACAATTTAATACTAAAGATATTAATTATTTTATTTTTGTATCTTCTTAAAAACAGGATATTGGTATGGGTATTTAAAACAAAAAAGTTGTCAAAAACGCATAATTATTACACTGGTTTGCAATAGTTCGCACTGCGTAAATGTGAGTAGAAGAGACAAAAACGCTTAATAACTAAGCTATTGTTAAACGGATTTAAAAAAAAGTGTTAAATAGAGAATTAAAATACCTTTCAAATGAGGTATCACAAGCACCCCCTTTCCATTTGAAATTTTCAAGTTGATACTGCCCTCTTGGCACTTGTTCGGCAAAAAAATTTCATACTGACGTAAAAAAGTAGTAAACAAAATATTGTTTACCCTGGTTTTTGTCCGACATCGATATCTTTTTTGGTTCAAAAGTTAACAGGGGGGGGGATTTTAACGCGCTCACTGTATGTCAACGTATGAAAAAAATTCAGATATTGTTTGTGGGAGATTTATGTTAGTGGATAATGAAAAATATTTTAAATTAAGTATAACAAAATATTTATAAATGTATTTGTGATAGTATTATCTGTCTAAACCTAGGTAAAACCTTATATGTGTATTTTATTTAGTTATAAAATTGATAATATAGATTTTAGTAGGGTAAACATGGCAATTAATAATGTTAAAATTAAAATGGTGTATAATAGTATACTATACCTATACTATGTATCATGTTAAATAAAACCCCATTTTAGTCACGAATTTAATTTAGTCACGAGCATGCTTGCGAGCAAATGCTTAATTAAATAAGTGTCTAGGAAAGTTTTTAAACAAGTTGCATACTATACTTTTTTTGCGACCAATTATTATTATTATTATCTCAAAATGATGTTCATTAAATATTTGTATAGAGCGACATCTATACAAAAATTGTAGAGTAACCGTAAAATGGGAATCTGTATTACCGGCGGAAAATGTCAATTTTTTTTGTTTAAAGCCAAATGTATCCCTTGAAAATGGACTAGCAACCGTTTAAATCCAATATAAAAGCAGTTTTTTACAGTGAAAGTAAAGAGAGTGTTTTATGGACACTTCGCGGTGGAGTCTCCACGCAATTTTTTAATGCTTGATCTAGTTTACTGCCGGCCACAGTATTAAGACCGTGGCGAAATCAAAAGGTCAGTACAAACGTACATATAAACTTTTTAAATATTGACGTTGAGAAACTATTAAATACTTTTGTATTAGTGTATTAACATAATACAATAATTTTCACATTTAGTATTATTTCACAAGAAGGGCACTTTATTTTAACGGTTATATGACATTTGACAACTGTCTACTAACTTAAAGCTAACTTTAGCCCGTGACTAAAAAACTGTTGCTCATGTCAGCCCGTGACGAAAGCGCCATAAAGCCATAGCATAACAGTGTGTATTTAAAAGATTAGTGTCATGGAAACCTGGGAAAGGTGGGAGTAGAAAAAATACCTTATATTAAACTCGAATTTAAACTTTAAAAATCCTGTTAAATATTTGTTAAATAAAATATTTAAAAAGCTTATTTTCATAGTAGAACTTAAAAAAACCTATCACTATAAGTACAATTATTATTATAAAGGGTGGTCCACCTAATGTTTTCTTTTCGAAATTGCTATTAAAACTAAACCATTTAATATTTTTCATTGATTATAATTATATAATATAATTATATAATAGTTTCTTGAATAAGGCAATAATTATTGCCTTATTCAAGAAACTACACCTTTCAATTATTTGTTTAGTTAAAAGGTCCGCCGCAGCTAGCTTGGCAGTAGTCTATCCTCCTAACCCAATGTTGT